AGATTCCGACTGAAAAGAAGCTTTTGTCTTCGGATGGGTTCTTTGAAAGAAACGCAATATATAAGATATCACCCTCAAAGCCCTCGGTAAACTAGAAAACCGGTCAAGAATGTCATTGATTTTGTCTGTCGATGTTGTTGCATGAACGTGCACCCTTTTTTCCTCAATGCTCGTGGTGAAGTCTGTCTCTTGGGTTGGCCAATTTTCCCTATTTTCTTGTAGCCAAGAAGGTCCCTGCCACCACAAAGAGTTTTTGACCAATTCGTTCGCCAGTATGCCTCTGCTTGCTAAATCTGCGGGATTCGTAGCTGAATCGACGTGAAGCCAGTTCAAGTTCCCTACTTTGTCTAAGATTTTTGTAATTCGGTGGGCAACGAAGGTTGACCACGAACATGGGGGGCTTGCGTATCCATGCCAGAACAATCGTCGAATCAGTCCACAGATGTATGTTTAGGTGGCCTAATTCAAGATTTTTGGTGATTGATTCGACTATTTCTGACAGTAATACCGCCCCGCAAAGTTCTAATCTAGGCAAAGAAATTGTTTTGACTGGCGCTACTCTAGTTTTTGCTAATAGCAGATTTACAAGTACTTTATCCTCTTTTTCCACGCGTAAGTAGACTGCGGCAGCGTACGCTTTTTCGGATGCGTCGCAGAATCCGTGAATCTCTACCTTTTCCGTTGGTGAGAAAGATACCCAACGTGGTATCCTTATATTATTGATTTCCTGATAGTTTCTCGTGAAATTCTGCCATCTATCTAGTGTTGTTGGGGACACCGTCTCGTCCCAGTCTGTACCCTCTAACCATATGCTCTGCATAAGTATTTTCGCGACAATTATCATTGGAGCTAGCCAACCTAACGGGTCAAAGAGTTTAGCGATGGCTGATAATATCGCTCTCTTCGTTGGATTGACGTTATCTTCTATTGGCTTGGCTATAAAATAAAATTGGTCGGAATGCGCGTTCCACCTTATACCTAGGGCTTTTACACTGCTTGTGTCCTCAAACTCTAAGAAATTTTCACTCAGCAGATGTGCTTTTGGTATGCCTTGCAATATTTTATTGCAATTCGACGTCCATTTTCTAAGTGGAAAACCAGCTGATTTTAAAACTGCGGAAATCTCATCCCTGGCTTTTATCGCGGAGTCAATAGTATGTCCTCCGGCAAGAACGTCGTCGACATACATACTTTTTCGTAAAATGTTTGAGGCTATAGGATAGAGGCTTTCTGAGTCATCAGCTAGCTGGAGCAATGTCCTTATCGCGAGATAAGGAGCACAATTTATACCGAAAGTAACCGTCTTTAGTTCGTAAATACTAATTGGTTCGTTTGGACACGTACGGAAAATTATTCGTTGGTACTTCGTTTGGTTGGCGTCTACAAGAATTTGCCTATACATCTTCTCAATATCGCTATTGAAGACGTATCTAAAAAGTCTCCAGCGGAGAATCAACACTGGTAAATCAGACTGAAGCACTGGCCCTGGAAGAAGAATATCGTTCAGGCTGACACCATTGGCTGAAGACGACGAAGCATTGAAAACCACCCGAACCTTTGTCGTAGTACTCTCTTCTTTTACCACAGCGTGATGTGGTAAATAGTAACTGTCGACTGCATCTGCTGACTGAATTGCATTAACTTTAGACATATGGCCCATTGTCTCGTATTCCATTATGACTTTGTTATATTCCCTCTGTAAGTCTGGATTTTTTCTAAGTCGAGTTTCGTTCTTGTAAAATTGAGAAAACGCGATTTTGAGTGATGGCCCTAAGTTTATATCAGCCGGGAACTCCGCCTTGAAAGGAAGCGACACGATGTACCTCCCATCTGGATTCCGCTGTGTTGTACACTTGTAAAGCTCCTCGCACTTTGCTTCCTCAGCTGTTGCAGTTTTATCTCGTGGAAGATCCTCAAGTTCCCAAAAAGAGCTTAGCTGTTTGTCTAGGGCCACTTCATTGAAGAACGATACTCTATTATTGTTGGTTGGGTTGACTGCATCAGCACGACCAGTCAGTATCCAACCGAACACTGTTTCTTGTGCCAGAAGAGTACTAAGAACATTCTTCTTAATGCCACTCAAAATTATATGGGGATATATGTCCCCTCCCAAGACAAGATCGACTTGCTCATTTACATAAAACCTTTTATCTGCCAGGATGAGATCAGGAAAAGCTTGTTGTGTTAGTGCGCTAATGTCGCAAGTTGGCAAATTCCCGGTAAGAGTTGGTAGCACTAACACAATAGCATCAATTGAAATGAATGGGTCAATCGGTGACCGCAACTGTATAGAACACGCTTCTTTTACCTGTGCAGAAACCGTATTATTGATGCCCGAAACTTGAGCATGCATTTTCTTTGTGGGCAAGATGATTCTGCGTCTGAGCCTCTCCGTAATGAAGGAACACTCAGAGCCAGAATCAATTAGAGCTCTAGCAGCATAGTTGGTGCCATTATAATGAATAGTAACCCGAGCAGTGCCGAGTAAAACACCTTTGCTAGTATTAGCGTGATGTGATTGCACCTTTTTTACTTGGTTACTTTTCCCCTTTGAAGCTTGATTCCTCAATTGTGCCTGTCTGGAAGTCGATGGTAAATTGTCCGCAGGATTAGAAGTATTTTCCCTGGTAGCTGTTTTAGGCGGTGCTGTTTGATTGTGTAGGAGCGTATGGTGTCGAGAATGGCAATTGGCGCAGTTGTAAGAACTCGTGCATTTCGACACCGAATGTCCGAAAGACAGACAGTTAAAACAGCTATTGTTCGTTTTTACAAAGGAGATTCTATCAGCTACAGACATCTTCAGAAATTTTGGGCACATATGAATTCTATGCTCATTGCTTTGGCACATTTTGCACATGTATTTGGCGACACTAGTTTGAAAAACGCCAAGTTTCTTGTGAGAGGGTTCAGAGGAATGCTTATGACTTGGCACTTTTGAAAACTTCGAAGTCTTGATTCCTCTTAAACCTGAAACCGATTCTAACGTTTGAAACCTGCTTGAAAGGAATCGGTCCATATCTGACCACTTGGATATTTCTGTTTTATTTTCTACCGATTGTTCCCACAGCGAAAGGGTTTCCTCAGGTAGTTTAGTAGAACACAGATACGTGATAATAGGGTCCCAGTTTGAAATGTCAATCTGGTGACTCTCTAGGGATGATATACAATTATTAATATCCCTTTGTAATCTCTTTATTGAGCTTCCACATTCACTATCAACTGTATTCAAGTTGAAGAGAATCTTCAACTGAGTGTTAACTAGGATCCTCTTATTTTCGTATCTATCGCAAAGATTCTTCCAGGCTGTGTTAAAGCCTTCATTCGTTAAGTCGCATTTCTTGACAATTTCTTTGGCTTCACCCTGCGTTTTTTGATTCAGATAATAAAGCTTCTGTATGGGTGTAAGCCGTTTGTTCAAGATATAAATTGCCGTGAACATGTCACGAAAAGTTGGCCACGACAAATAATCACCTTTAAAAACGTCAATATCGCAAGGTGGAAGATGCAAACTATGCGAAGCGAGTGACATCTCTTCACTTTCCTTTTCTGATTTTTCCAACTTTTCGGAATATTCGTTAATTTTTGTCATACACCGGACAAAAGCTGCATATCAGATCTTATTTTTCTTTCTTATAGCGCTAACATCTTTAGCACTAGTTGATTCGGTAGTCAGAACTTCGTCAAAGAGTGCTTTGGCTTTCTCCCACAGTACACTAAGCTCGCTTTGCTGAATTTTCAGCGAATGTTTGGTGTGCTCACCTGTGGGAGTGCTCAGAAATTCTGTATCAAATTCAATGACCGAATCTGCTAACCGGGTGTATGTTTCCATTTTATTTAATTTTTTCACTTATTTGCGAAATAACAACTTCACAAGAAATTTTTGGAAGTATCACTATGAGAGACTGACTCAAAAGAAGCCGATTTTCCAACCGTAAAGGTAGCACACGAAGAAAATCCTATGTCAAGGTAACCCCAAACTATATACCCAATGTATATAAGCAGAATGCACCACCAAAATACCACCAATTCAACCACAAAGTAATAAAAATTCTCTATTTTTCCTTTAAATTGTATCTGTGAACTTTCTATGTTTATTAACACCGATTTAGCAATATAAATGCGTTTTAAGTATACGTATGTATGTATGTTTGTTTGTTCACAAGAAATTGCTCGCCAACCAAACCAGTGAGATCTGTATATGTATGTATGTGTATATATTCTTATGTACAAGCGCGTTATATGCCAAGTGCAAATAAATAATGAATATGGAAAAACACACCACTTGACTAATTAGAAATAGTGCCAAAATTTGTATTGGTTTTTAATAAATTAAATGCAAACGCGAAAGTGATTTTGTGAAAAGGAAATATTGCAAGTACCAAAGTTCGGTGCAGTGAAAAGTTTGGTTATGTAAACCGAATACAAGTGCAGTGTTGTTGTTGGTAAATTTCGGTACTAAAATGCAAGTCACCAAGGAAAATATGATTAACAAAAATTAAACTATTCGAATTAATCACCGTAAAGAAACTTCTTGCAAATTGTTTCGCGATAATTCCAAAGCAAAACAAAACACTGCCTTTTTTTTATGCCCGATCACACTTGTTTAATATTTAAATGGCTTTAGCGCCCACAAATGTATGTACATATATATGTGCGTGTGTGTGTGTCACTTAGCACTTCGGTTGCAATTAAAACTTTAAATTTTTCACAAAATCACTCACGAATTCTTGATTATTAACTAAATAAATGCTACACAAGATAATCTAAGTGCAGTGAAATTTGACCCACGTACCTTTAATTTAAAAAATTGATGACTTTATTTATCTAACAGGTGTCGGTGTTCGTGTGTGTGTTTTTGCTGTTGATGCTGGAAGCTCCTTTGGTTGCTTTGTGCAAAAATTTTGTAGCTGCTGCTGCAATGTACGGCTGCTTCAGATAGGCTCAAATTGGAATCTTCGGATTGGCTCAAAAGCTGGGCGCTGGCAAGTGGAAAATGTTACGGCGTTGAAGGACCAGTATGTTAAACCGGCACAACGCTTGAGCAAGGTCGTGGCCGATTTAATTTGTTGGAATAAGAAATAAAGCAAAAACGTTTGTATTAATTTTAAATATAAATTCGTGTTTATTCAATATCGATATTGGTATTAATATATGTATGTATATATTTGGTTTTACAGGTTACCTTTGATTTGACTCAGGAACACAATGGCTGGAACGCGTCCTCTTGGATTCACTCTCGGAAAACAAGTAAGTGACCGGTTTAAATTTATTCTTACTGTAGCCTGTCGAACTGTATATTTACCGAAGGGACATTTTAGCATAAGTAACATAGTGGTAAACAGTTCGACAGTTGACATAATAATGAAGTTATGTTAAGCATTAGGGTGGGTCGAAAATGCTGCGACAAATTTAGGCCGTTGGCCTAAACACAAGAGTTGGCTTACCGAACGTGGTGTGATGGCTGACGTGATCTCCTTGCTGTCTTCTAAGAAGTGAAAAAGTGCCAACAAACGAAAAGGGATGTAGCCCACCGCACAGTAACTTTCGTTAAGTTTCCCCTCCAATAAGTTACCGTACAGGGGGGCTTTTTGTTAGCGGCTGGAAAGATAGCCATAACTTGTGTATGTGTTTGTGTGCTCTTACATCAAGTGACAAAACGCGGATTAGGGTGGTGCAATATATTTAGGTCGCGGACCTAAACATACCGGCCCCCTTGCGGTAAGCAAGCTATGAAAAAGAAAAGGAGTCGCGTCTCAACCGTCACACGCACGTGAGGAAAGTCTTAAGGATTAACTATAATATGCAGCGCGGATTTTGTACTGCGCGGGGCTGCTTATTCGCCAACGCTTTCGTCGCGACCGGTTCATCTGAGGCTGTGGAGAAAAGGACATTGTTAATTGAAACAGACGTGGTTTGAAATTTCAATGCACTTTTTTTATTTAAATTTTTAGGTATGTGTGTGATGAGTGTGTGTGTATGTGTGGTTTTGTCTTCTTAATCTCTACGTTTATGGTTGGCAGGCTCCCGAAACAACCAGACCGTATATGGTCGCCTGGACCAGGAGACCACCCACGGTGGATGGGGGGTCCCGCTCACCATCATCTGCGCATGCAGATCGAGGCCCAGTGTGAGGCGTATTGGTGACGCGCGGAAGAATTGCGGATCCGCCAAGCGCATGAACTGGAACGGGGCCGCAACCTTAGGGTCCAGGTTCGACGGTGGACTCAGACGTATATGGTGGTCCAGCACAACTGCTTGTGTCGTAATGCGGTCGGAGCTGCTGTATCTTCCTCGCATGGTGACCGTGCAACGCTGCAGACGTCCTGATCCGTTGCGTTCCAGTTGGAGATCTCTCACCAGTTCCGAATCAACCAATGAGTTTGGTGCGCAAGGGTCAATCATTGCGCGAACCAAATGAAGGCGGCCCCTTGATTCAATCCGCACTATTGCGGTCGGCGCGATGGGGATAAGCGCACGAATGATCGGCGTTGATATGGCGCTTTGCACTAGGCGGCCCGTTCGGAAGCCGGTCGGTGGAGCGCGTTGTAAGGCACGACTATTGATGTTGCTGTCGCCCGCGCGTGGTTGTAACTTGTCTAACGGTCTCGGTGTGCCAGTTCCAGAGTTGCGCTTTTGTGGCTCATGTGGGGAAGAGTCTGTCCTCTCTGACCCCTCCAACTCCTCCTCTTCGACCTGCTGCGCCCACGACTTCGTCTGCTCCGTAACGTCGATAGAGAGTGCCCCGTCCGAGCTCTCGCCGTCGTTGATTCGTTCGCTGGGTGCCTTTGGTCTTCGCAGTCATCGAGATGGAGCGAGGTGTGATGCTTTTCGCGACATCGGTGGCATCGATCCGTGCTGCTGCACATGTCGAGGCGGTGGAACGGCGAGAGGCAGTTTGGGCAATATTTATGCAGCAGGACTGCACGCAGCCTTGCTTCGACCGCTTTGCCGCGGTAAAGGGGGCATAGTCGAATGCCATGCGCTCCGCCGCATAGCCGGCATAGAACCGTGAATTTATCAGCGCGTTCTTCCGCATGTGCGCGATTAGCCGAGAAACGAGTCATTCTGTAAATGAGTCTCGTAGTTATGTCCGTAGGTGTAAAAAGTTACGTACTATTAGTTTTGGGTTGGGTGGCAAGTGGCGAATATATGTATGCCTGTATGTCTCGTGAAAGCACATTTTATATATACGTCTGATATACTTATGTACATATATATATATATATATATATATATATATATACTATTTGTTTATTTATTTAATTTGTTTTGACTTGGTGAAGTACAAAACTGGGCCAATTCAGACTTTCAGTCTCCGCGTACTTGTGCGGTATTAAGTATAGACTAATGGTCTTACTCTTAAAAAATAAATAGACTTACTAAGCTCTACAAAGTGGCGTTTTTATAAAAAAGCTTCAATTTAAAAAGCGGTTAAAGTCTTCTTTATTTTCTATGACTTTGAGCGTAAGGTTTCGTATTTGGGTTAAAACAGATCTGTGGAAGGTGACCATCGCTATAAGATTTTATTCCATTACATTTGTTGCCATTTGCTTTTGCATCGAACAGACCTTTATGTAGTACAAACTTTTCGATCACTATTTCCCCGAACACACCGTGAAATTTGTAATCTCGTAAAAGGTGTCATTTGTGGTGAGTTTCACCACTTGGCCTGGCACGGCGAAAGAAAATTTCCTCACTATGGGTTCGAGACCGAGCTAAGCCAGTAAATAGTACATCAGTGTTGCCAGGTAGAAACTAAGTGAGTATGAACAGTTTTTAATGCACATAGTTAAGTTGCAGTTTGAGAACAAAAAAAAGACGATAAACCTGTGATTTTATTCCAATTAAAAATATTTTTGTTAAAGAAATGCGAATTTTTAAATTCGTAAAAAAAAAAACGTAAAACTTTTTATTCTTACATACAGCATCAGAAGCTAGCATAAATGAAAAAAAATCCAAAGGCTTCCTGGTTCAGTTTATTAAAAATTTTTATTACATGTTGACGATTTTTACATGCAAAAGGCGTTTTTTTGATAACCAAACTGACGCTTTCTCAATATAATCACCTGGCAACACTGTATAGCATGCATCACAAAATGAATTTTTTTCTCGCAGTTTATTATCAAGTTGTGCACCTGACAACCAGATGGTGCTGCTTGCCCTACTCTTATGAAGGCTCGCAATTCGCCCAATCACATATGTCAAACGTTGAGCTAATACCGTATGTCAAAGTTTTGACACAGCAATAACTTCCTGAATGACTGAAAATTTCATTCTGGATTTGGCACGTGGTAAGTTTGTTGTGATTATTAAATTATTAGTGTTGTTCAATTCATTCATTTCATTTTCAGATTCGACAATTAAGCGTGGCTGTTGCCGGTATTCCACATTGGTCATTTCCGAGCAACAATTTCAATTTTTCAAACGATTTGTAAAAGTCGTGGCATTGGCGTATTCGGTAATGATGATTGAGGAAACTGGTATACCTGCTGATATATGGCGTTTCTACCTTGCTTGTGCGCGTCCCGAAGGACAAGATTCTAGCTTTAGTTGGAATGACTTAGCGGCGCGTAATAATTCCGACTTGCTAAACAATCTGGGCAATTTTGTAAATCGTGCGTTAGTCTTTTGCGAAAAGAACTTTGATGGCGTCACACAAGCCATGACCCTAACCAAGGACGAACTCGTACTTTTGGCACTTATAAATCGTGAAGTCCGTGGCTATGTAAACTCACTTGAAAAGGCCAAATTACGTGATGGCATTCGACATTTGCTTTCAATTTCTCGCCAAGGCAATGGTTATATGCAAGCGCAACAGCCGTGGGTGTTACTGAAAGGCAATTAAATGCCAAGCAAACTCAGCTGATAAGCCCGCATACGGAAAAAGCTACTGAATCCGAACTGGTCATATTTGGCAAAAAAGGCCTTGCATGGACAAATTTTAACTAAGGCCAAGAAAAAAAAAGGCAACGGAAAATAACCTCGTGTGGTGGTAAGTTTACGATGAAATTAATGAACGCTGCCCTACATTTACTATCATTTTGTGCTAATAATATATGCAGCACTTCTGCGATTACACGACTGATATGAAATTTTGATTTGTCCCGGCTTTGGTTCAGTATCTGTATGGTAGGGTATATGTGGCACTCTAGGAGTCGAGTTACCCTTTCAGAGCCTGCTGACACCCCATTGCCGATAGATGGGCGTAAGGTGTGCAGCCAATTCTTTAATAAATTACATTCGGAAGGAGGTAATAAATTTAAGTACTCCGGAATGTGTGTTTCCATCTCCTGCTTAGTCTGGGTTGACTCCGACATCGTCGGGACGCCCCACGTTGGGCGCCAGAAGTGATACAAAAATTTATTATTGTAGCAACTGAAATATGTGCATATACATATATGTATGTATAACTACGGTGACCATCCGTTCTGTTTTTTTTTTTTTTTGCAGGACCGTACTGTTTTTCAAAGGGCGATCCTGCGTAGTTTTTCAAATCTGAAAAACCTGGAAATGTACTGAATTTTCCCCAAGTGTCCTGCATTTGTCCCGCATTTTATTCGTTATTTTAAAATTATCGGACAATGGATGGATTTTTTCAAAAAAGTGATTTTTGGCACTTTTCATAGCTTTTCTTCAATATCTCATGAAAAAATCTCACAATCAACGTAAGCGACTTACAACTCGAAGGGTATTGATGTGCCTCTTACTAAAATATATGACTTGTGGCGACCTCAATGCAAGTTATCATTACCATTTGCATTTTGTCGTCGAAGTCGAGGAAAGTGAGATTTTCAATCAAATACGCAGATTCATTTGAATATTTTTTTTTCATTATTTTAAAAATTCGATAAGGAAGATATATCACTACAGTAAATTTTGAGCCAAAGAAATGTAGAAATGTAGATGCTATGGAGCGCAATCTGCACAAATTATATATTCCTGTAAAGGGAACTTTGTAACTCGTCGTTTACGTCGATTCTTGACGTCGATTTTTGACAAATAACTGCGAAAAGTACCAAAAAAACAAAAAAATTTTATTGTTTCCGTTTTGAACGACTCAACATTTGCCTATAAAATAATATTTTAAAGATTTTCACTTTTCGTGTAAGCTATTGTAATTGTAATATGTCGTGCGATACTTTTATAAATATTCATGTAAAAAAAAAGATTAATATCGATGAAGAAAACGTGATTCATTTTTAAAGTTTAAAATGTATTAAGAAATTAGAATCATAAATACTCTTTTGATATTTTTATGCTACGTTAATATATGTAGGCATATTTTTGAAAAATTGTCCTTCATTTTGAATCCATATTTATGGTCACCGTATGTATAACACAAAATATCGTTAAATATCGTTGGAAGAGTGTATTGTTTATATGTATAATATTTAAATGTCCTCGGTGTGCACTCTCCGTTGATTAGCTACCACTTGCTTGTGTTTCCGTTTCTTCCACTATAAGCTTGGCATTTTATTTAACAAAAAAAAGCATACCAAGCTGCTTGACAAATGTAATTCGTAACCGATTAGAAGAAATTTAAAACAAAAAAAACCACTTTATTTTGGAAATTTTAAAACAAAAACGAAAAACTGATTCTATGTTTTCCCTTTTAACTGCTGCTTATACCTGGGGCATACCATTTACAGTGAATTCCACAAGTCATGTACTATAAAAGCTGGTTCTACATTAGATTTATTAGAAATCGGCTGTTGTAAAACTAGCGATCACGTTATAATTTTGTTTATGGAGTTTCAAAATGTACAAATATGTATCAACTTAAAACGGGGCACAGTTTACTAGCTGGGAATATTTTGTAAACAGACAATTCAGCCGTAAAAGTCTCTTCGGCTTTTTAATTTAAATTATTATATACAGAGAAATTGTTTAGTAATTTATATGGCAGTAACATTGATGATATTCTAGGAGAAGACTCCGATTATGACTATGGTCAACAATTGTCGGCGGAATTCATTGAGCGTTTAGGTTTTGTTGATTCCCCACAAGCATTACTTAATGGTGTACCTATGCAACAAAATTTATTATCCTCTGATAGTGAATTCGAAGAAGCGATATTTTCAGAAATTATTCAACAGGCTAGCATTTTTCAGAAAGCGGTATATAAAGGAGATTTAACAGACTCTGATTCTGTTATTGATTACTTAATGAATCAGGATCATGTAATGCCACGCTTAAATCAACGCATTCTTAGTAATGAAGCCTCTGAATTTCTCGATTTTTCTGGACATGAAAGCAAAGATTTAACGAACCTGCGGGGTCTGGGCCAACTCTCAAATCGAGATATGACGGCGACTCTTTTGACTAATTTAAAATGTTTCATCGGTAAACATTCAACCAAAAATATTGGTAACGCTAAACTACACTTCCTAACTATTTGGGTTATTGCTGATATTGAACAAACCGAGGGTCGTGAGTTATTAATGCTCTGAGATTCGTTAGATCTGGAAGTAGTGTACGCGTAGGGTTTGTCCCAAATGCAGAAGGCTCCAATCTCTCAAATAAACACAATTTGAATCGTCTTGTTTGGGCTGCTGCACAAACTCTACCGCCACTGGAAGCTACAGTCTTGGTTTTGAAATGGCTCATGCACCCTAATTCAGCTCATGATATTCCAGATGCAGTCTCTTATGATCTTGTGAACTAAAGGAACATAAAGACTGCAGTGTAGATTTAAACTACCACATAGTTCATGAAATTTCATTTCTGGTTTTTGCTTTCGTTTGATAGGAACTGTAGAAAAAAATTAAGCAATTAAGCAGCAAATTAGAATATAGGAACAATTATCTTAACGTCGGTTGAATGAAAATATTCGAATTTATAGAAAACAGAATAAATTCGAATGTCGAGCAAAAACACTGATTTTTATTAATTTGAATCCCTGCAATACAATTTTTCGTGCATACGAAGTAGAGGGCTGCATGAATTCATTCAAAACGGCATATGAATTATTCATATAAAAAAAAACCAATGAATGAGTTTACCTTCAAAAATTTGTTGAGTTTGAGTAAATACTGTTCTGATATGGGTGTCGTCATAACAAGCCTATGTATACTTATATGTACATATGTATATGGCATATATAAATATGTGTCTTATGTCATTGTGTTTAAATAGGAGTTTGTTATTATGCTATAAAAACTCTGGGTGACGGAATCAGAAGATGCTTTTATATTACTTAAGTATTCATGTTTTTGAGATGCGCTCTTGAAATTATTCATAGCGATAATTCTGTTGCTGGAATATTTGGTGTTTGAGAATGCTGAACTCTGAAACGCCATTGACATTTGAGATGTGGGATTGCGTAGGGAGTAAGAAGTGGAATAGGTGGGTTTTGTGAAGTGGAATACAGAGTAGGTAGGAAGTTTACTGCGAGGTGGTGCTATTTTCGTTGTAGGGCGGAAGTAGGACCAATTTTGCAATTGGCATTCTGATTTCTCCCTTAGCTGTTTCGATGTCGACTACTCTTACTCGGTTGTCGGAACCTGGGTGTAGCTTGACTATTCTGCCCAATCTCCATTCGTTTGGTGGCAGGTTTTCTTCTTTAACAACGACCAGGTCCCCTTGTTTTAAGTTGGTTTGTGGATGCTTCCACCTAATGCGTTTCTGCATCTCGGTGAGGTATTCCATTTTCCATCTCCTACAGAATGTCTGGTGTAGGGCCTTCAGTTTCTGCCATCGATTTACGATTGAGGCTGGACTTTCATTTACATCGATTTCGGGTGGGGCAAGAAGATGCCCGCCGACCAGAAAATGACCTGGGGTAAGCGGCTCCAGGTCAGACGGTTCGTTTGAAGAGGGGCTTAGTGGTCGTGAGTTGAGACAAGACTCAATACGGCATAAGAGTGTGGTGAACTCTTCAATAGTATATTTGTGGTCGGACGCGACCTTTTTAAAGTGGGTTTTGAAACTTTTCACCCCAGCTTCCCACAAACCGCCCATGTGAGGGGCCGCAGCGGGTATGAAATGCCACTCTAAGGCTTGATGGCTGTACTTAGTGAGGGTGCTATTGCGTGCCTCAGCTAAAAATGCTTTGAATTCCGATCGTAAAGATCGTGAGGCTCCGACAAAGTTAGTACCATTGTCGGAGTAAACGTTTTTTGGACATCCTCGTCTAGCAACGAATCTTGCGAAAGCGGCTAGAAAGGACGCGGCGCTAAGGTCGCTGGTAGCTTCAAGGTGAATGGCTTTCGTCGAGAAACAGACGAAGAGACAGACGTAGCCTTTTGACATGCGACATCCTCTGCCCCGGTAGGACTTGATGTCGAACGGGCCCGCGAAATCCACCCCGTGTTTGTGAATGCACGGGAAAAGGTTGTGCGTTCTTTGGGAAGGATTCCCATAAGTTGAGTTTGCGACCGTTTCTTGTGGATCGTGCAGACCTTGCAGTTATGTATGACGGACCGTATCAAGTTTTTCACTCTGGGAATCCAATACTGCGATCGGATAAGTCGCAGCATCAGCTGGTTTTCTCCGTGCACGGAAATTTTATGGGTAAACTGGACCAAGAGGCGGGACATCCTACAACCATACGGAAGAATGATAGGATGACGTTCATTGTAGGACAGATCGCTAGATGCGCTCAGACGACCACCAGCCCTCAGAATCTCATCTTTGTCGATGAACGGGTTAAGAGGCAGGATTTCACTTTTTCCGTCGATGGATTTTCCAGATTTTAACCTCTTCGCTGTAATATTGTTTTTGACAAATTGTTATTAAGCGTTGGGTCGTTGTTTTAATTTCGTTGGCCGAAATTGAACGAGACTCCGCTTTAAAGGAATATTTCGTTTTGGGATTGATTCTTTGATAGAATCTCATAATATAAGATATAACTCTCAAAGCCCGTGATAAATCAGAAAATCGATCGAGAATGTCGTAAAAGTCTTTTACTTTTGTTGTTGCATGAACATGCACCCTTTTTTCTTCAATGGTGGTGTCAAAGTCCGATTCTTGTGCTGGCCATCTCGAATAGTCTTCTTGTAACCAAGAAGGACCCTGCCACCACAAGGAGTTGTTGACTAGATCACTCGCCGAAAGTTCTCTACTCGCCAGATCTGCTGGGTTTGATGCCGAATCCACATGACGCCAGTTTTCGGTTCCCACCTTGTCTACAATTTTTGTTATTCGGTGAGTAACGAAAGTTGAACACGAACACGGTGGTTTCCGGATCCATGCGAGGACTATTGTCGAATCTGTCCACAGATTTATTTTCAAATGTCCAAGACTCAGATTTTCGACGACCGCTTCTACGGTTTCCGAAAGCAAAACTGCGCCGCAAAGTTCTAAACGGGGTAACGATACTGTTTTGACGGGCGCTACCTTTGTTTTGCCATTAGAAGGCTGACCACAACTCTTTCCGCAGTCTTAACTCTCAAGAAAACAGTCGCCGCGTATGCTTTCTCCGAAGCGTCGCTGAATCCATGTATTTCGGCGTCATATGTTTGCGTAAAGTGAACCCATCTTGGTATGCGAATGGTATTAATGTCCATGTAGTCGTGCATAAATGCCTGCCAACGGTCTAATGTGGTCGGAGACACGGTATCGTCCCAACCAGTTCCCTCCAACCAAATATTTTGCATAATGATCTTGGCGACAATTACCACTGGAGCGAGCCAACCGAGCGGGTCAAACAGTTTGGCGATAGCTGAAAGTATCGCTCTTTTAGTGATGACGTCACGATTTTCTATTGGTTTTGCTGTGAAATAGAAGTAGTCAGATTTGGCATTCCATCTGATGCCAAGTGCTTTTACCGTACTAGACTCTTCAAACTCTAGAAAATCGTCGGTGAGTAAATGAGATTTCGGTATACCTTCAAGTATTTTACTGGAGTTCGAAGTCCACTTTCTTAATGGGAACCCTGCTGAATCCAGTACCTGTAGTATTTCTTCTCGAGCTTTAATCGCTGCTTCGATGCTGTGTCCTCCAGCAAGTACGTCGTCCACGTACATACACTTTCGCAAAATTTCGGATGCGATTGGAAACGAGCTCTCGACCTCATCAGCTAGTTCATGCAATGTCCTTATCGCGAGATAAGGAGCACAGCTGATGCCAAAAGTCACCGTTTTTAATTCGTATAAGCTAATTGGTTCTCTTGGGCAGGTGCGAAAAACTATGCGCTGATATTTCGTTTGATTCTCATTTACAAATATTTGCCGATACATTTTCTCTATATCGCTGTTGAAGACGTATTGGAACAGTCTCCAACGGAGTATGAGGATCGTTAAATCGGCCTGAAGTACAGGACCTGGAAGGAGGACATCATTCAAACTCGTGCCATTAGCGGTTGGGCATGATGCGTTGAATACAACCCTGACCTTTGTAGTGGTACTTTCTTCCTTTAAAACGGCGTGGTGCGGTAAAAAATAGCAGTCCGTTGAATCTGGTGAAATGTTTTTGTTAATTTTTAACATATGTGCTAGTGTCTCGTATTCAGATACAACCCGGTTGTACTCTGTTTGAAGGACAGGCTTTTTCGCTAGTCGCGTCTCGTTCCGGTAGAACTGAGAGCATGCACTTTTCAGCGAAGGTCCTAAGCACACATTTTTCGGAAAATCCCGTTTAAAAGGTAGAGACACAATGTATTTTCCATCGGTATTTCGTGTTGTAGTTGCTTTGAAGAGCTCTTCGCAGTATTTATCATCTTCGTTGATGCCTTTTTTCTTTGGGACATCCTCCAGCTCCCAAAATGCAGCTAGCTGCTTGTCCAACGTGATTTCGTTAAAATACGATGACTGAGTCCGCGCGACCAGTCAGTATCCAACCAAACACGGTCTCTTGCGCGAGAAGCGTATTTAATACGTTCTTCCTCATTCCGCTTAAAATTATTTGCGGGTAAATATCTCCTCCTAAGACCAGGTCAACTGGCTCATTGACGAAGAATCTTTTGTCCGCCAAGACCAAGTCTGGGAACGATTGCCGCGTCATTGCGCTTATCTGACAAGTCGGAAGATCCCCGGTTAATTGTGGTAAAACCAGCACAATTGCTTCTATATTAATTAATGTGTCTGTGGGTGACCGAAGTTGAATAGCACACGCTTCTTTTACCTGCGCAGATACAGAGTTATTGATGCCCGAAACTTGGGCATGCAAGCGTTTTGATGGCAGGTTGATTCTCCGTTTGAGTCTCTCAGTAATGAACGAGCACTCAGAACCAGAATCTATAAGCGCTCTAGCCGAAAAATGTATACCATTATAGTGTATGTTTACGCGTGCTGTTCCTAGCAAAACTCCTTTACTTTTATTTGCGTAACAAGAATTTACATTTGTAACCGATTTGATGTTTCCTTTTTCAGATTCGCGTCTTGATTGAGCCTGGTTTGGAGTAGATTCCACGCTACCCGATGGATCATTTGTCGCTTTTGGCTGAATTGGCATATGGAGCAACTTGTGATGTCTCGAATGACAAGTGCTGCAGTTAAATGAGATTTTTCCAGGCCGCACCAAAGCCATCGTTGGTTAATGGGGATCTCTGAACTATTTCCTTGGCCTCCCCCTGAGTTTTTTGCCGGAGGTGATACAGCTTCTCAACTGGGGTAAGGCGCTTATTTAGAATGTATATAGCCGTAAACATATCCCTAAACGGTGGCCACGAAAGATAATCTCCTTTAAAAATGTCTGTGTCGCAAGGAGGGAGATGAATATTAAGCTCGCGACCTGACTTGTATTCGCTTTCCTTTTCAGTCTTTGCGAGTTGCTCTAAAAGATCAGCCATTGCTGCTTGGCACCGCAAAAAACTGAAGTAGGTGCTTTTATACTTCTTTTTAATTGCTGTCAGGTCTTTGGTTTCGAGCTCTTTTGATGCCCAAAGTTCATCATAAGACCCTTTTACCTTTTCCCACAGAGCCTTTAATTCATCCTTTTGGAAAGTTAAGGAGTGCTTTGTGTGCTCTGATGGCTGCATAGAGTTGTAGTCAGATTCGAATTCTGTTACTGAATCGGCCTGACGAATAAAGGTGTCCATTTTTGACCAAAGGCAACTGAAGTGGACGCAAGACAAAAGATTTCTTTGTGTGAATCGCCGCTTCGTAGAAAAAGATTGCCACTAAAAACGCTTAGCCCGAAATAAGTCTAATTCTTATAAGAACAACAAAGGATAACTTGTGTATTTAAAATAACGATTTATTTATTTTCCAGCCAAATAAGACTGTCGAATACGTAATTACGTATGTGTATGTGCGTATATGCAAAAATGTGCAAGTCACTCGCCACCCAACTTATCAAATATGTGATATACGTGTGTAAATAATTGATATTCAAAATATGCAGTTTATTTTAAAAATTTCTTATGAAGAAATTGTGTTTGTTTAAGCGCGGCTGTGATTTTATGCAACCAACAAATAAATGGGGGAAACAACCCAGTGAAGTGATCAGCAATATGTACAAGCGCGCCACTAATAATAGACAAGTGCAATGTGAAAAGAATCCAAAGGAGTTTCGCAAAATCTACTTGAAGTTACGCGATTAATAAAATGCAAATAAAAGTGAAAGCCAGTAAAATGAGAAAATACTAAATTCTGTGCTTTGCAAGAAAGGGATAAATTTTATCAATCTTGTGCTTCGGTAAATGCGACTGGTATTTTTACACAAACAACACCGTATCACGAATCAAAATGGACGTTCGCGCAATTCGTTAATGTTAGCCGGTACCCCACTAAAACGTGAAAAGTGTTCTAATTTTTATTTAAAAAAAAATAATAAGCACTGAGTGTTTTCTCTTCTTTTTTGCTTTACACAATAATCACGCGAATAACTTCTTTTTTTAAATATTTTCTTTTTACAATCCTTAGGAATTGTATTATTTA